TTTTGCTTCCAGGGAAAAATTCAGGCTTGATTTGATCTAGAACCCAAGTGTTGATCTTTGCGTCATTCCAGGGTATTTCCAGCAGCTGGTTTTGAACACACGGTTGCACTTACAGACCCATAAATCACTATAGAGGTCATTCTGTGCACTCTAATAGGAATAATTAAACAATGCATAAATAATGGAATAAGCAATCAAATCTTTTGTGTATTGCTGACCCTGGGAATTTTTAATCGGGCACAGCAACATTTGAATAGTACATTTTCCTTACCTCTTATAAGCAGGAATAGAATTGACATTCTCCTGAGATGCTGTTATATTTGTGACAATGGATGGATGGATGGATGGATGGATGGATGGATGGATGGATGGATGGAATTGTTTCTTGAAGGCTGCATACCTCTTCTCTCTGGTTGAGGAGCATACATGTTTTCTGAGGAAAACCAAAGCAATAAAAGTAATCATTCTTCTCAGCAATCGACCCTTGTTTGCTGTCCCTTTGAAGCGCAACTCTGTCCTTTTGCCTTCCATTACACATGAACTTCACGGTATAAAACTCCTGTTCGTCGATGCCTGTGGAACCACACTGCCAAGCCTTAAATGTGGTCAGGGCTTGCTTGGAACAATCACCAGGAGAAATGCTGAAACTATCAAGGAAATAAACATAGTTTACAGTTCTCTGCATTTAGTAAGTGAGATACCAAGTTATTAGGAAATGCTATGGTGTTCTTCCAGTGAGGCGGGAGGGAGAAACAGAGAGAGAGAAAGAGCAGATCTTCCTAAGAGTAGGATGGGATTGGTCTGACAATGGGAAAACCTGAAAACTAATTTGTTGAGATTTTGCTAGAACTCTCTCAGAAGGGTCTGCGTGTGCAAGTGTGTGTGCACACCTATCAGAACACATCATGCTCTAAGGGGGAAAATGGGTGGCTAACTACCAGCAAATAATTGATCCCCCCCTCCAGTGCTATTGCTTAGCTGTGGTACAGCCAATAACCTGGTGGGGGGGAAATCGATATAGCTATTATCAACTGTTGGCTACAGTTTGCAAAAGCAATCATCGCCGTTAAAATCTTTTGTGACAGTCTCAGTGATCATCCGGCTTGTTAACGTGTTAACGTTCTGGGCAAGTTCATCCTAGAAATGCCAAAGAAAAAATACATTTGGACACCATGGGATTGCTTTATCCGATCTTTAGTTTTCAACAAAAGGTTTGTCGGTTACTAGAGGCTACTGTGAACCTGTGCTAAGTAGAATTGACCAGGATCTGTCAAAAGGAAAATACTGGGAACCAGCAGTCACATTATTACCTCTGTTTGTTTATTTGAATGCATAGTTTCTCCCATACCCAAGCTTGGGATGGGCAGAGGAATCAAAAATGGCCAATGTTATCCATTTTATAGATGTGTCCTTTCATGTTTGTTCGATAGTTGCTGTATGGTGTATCCGGAATATTGTCCACTCATGAGAATGGATGTCTTCGTTTCCACATATCTAAACTTCAAACCTCTTGGAGGATTTTCTTAAAATATGCTCAGCAAAATATAATTCTGTTCAATAATTATGGGTGTAATCTTACCAGAATGTATGTAACGCTTCAGACTCAGAGACATGTGAGCATCCAGTGCAGAGCAGAAGTAATCATTGCCTCCTGTTCTCCTATTTGCTATTTTTGCCAGGTATTTGGTGTTCCCCCCATTGAACTGTAACATTTTGGAGTGGGAGGGAAGGAGGCTGGAACCGTGTCAAGATGTCTTGTATCCTGGTCTCCTCAGTCCTGATCTCAGAAAGCAGCCAGTGTGGTCCTTTCTGTGCTGGCTGTGAGGGGAAAGGGTGGGGATGGTCACAAGGATTGTGAGAAGTTTCCCTGGAATCCATCCCTCTAGCATTGGCAGACTGTCTCTCATGTCTGCCCTCTCTTAGAAATTCAAGAGCTGAGCCAAGAAGTCCACAAATATTCATGGAATGGAGGTTGCACAGCTGGCAGCTTTCTTCCACCTCAAGGATGCTGCACATGACACAGAAGAGGGATGCTGCTTGTGTGGCAGTCATGCAGGGTTCAATCGCTGGCAAGGGCCACAAGAACATTAGGCACATGCTCCAGGAACTTGAACTCATGCCCATGGCAAGACAGACCACAGTCCAGGGAGCCAAGCCCAGGGAATCTGACAGAGTCCAGTCCCTAAAATGGACTTTTCATGCATCTCTAGATGACACCCCATTCCTGCCTCCAAGACCTCCAAGTCTCCAAACTTTGATTGGAGAAATTGTATGGCCTTTCAGATGCTATCTTGAGGCCATAGGATTAGTCCCTAAAAAGATAGCAGTCCTTGTATCAAAAGTTTAAGTATCATAAGGTCTTAGCCGTGCAAGCTGGGACTAATGAGAACTGGAGTCCAAAATATCTGAAGAACACCAAGTTAGGAAGAGAAGATGGATCTATGAAGGCTCTTTTCCATGTTGCAGAGGGTTCTGAAGCATGTCCTATTGCACATCACCTGTTCACAGAGCATTTGGTGCAGCCTTGAGAACCCGCACGAATGCAAAGTGTGCCCCAGGAGGCAGAAAACTCATTACTTGTCCTCCGTTACTGGATTTCTCGGAGCCGAGCAAGGCATGGCATTAAATGGATCTGAGCGTTAAAGATGCACATTGTTAAATACAAAGAATGTTTGTGAATTGGGGGTGGAGGATCATTATCAGTATTGCAGAAGGTGAGATAGGGAGCTTAACTCTCTCCCCCCACTCCCAGCACCACCACCACGATCATTGTGGTCCTGAGGAGAATCATGTATCCAAAACCACAATTGGCACCGGGAGGATCCCTTGCAATACAAGTCACAATTTTGGAGGAGTGCTTTTAGTCAGCAAGGGAGAACAGACTAAGGTCCCTGTCTCCCCTTTCTTTCTGCTGAAATCCCAAGAATTATCAACTCCCCCTGCCCTCCTCAGGGGTTGCTATTTGCATTTTTGTGTCCACATTAAATGCAAAGACATATTCAAAATCATGTTTAGTTTAGCCTTGCTTATTCAGGGCACAATCCTTTGCATGTTTACACAGAAAACAGTCCTACAATTCCCAGGATGGTTCGTGGGGAATGCTAGGAGTTGTATGAGCTTTTTCTGTCTAAATATGAGTAGGATTGGGCCCTTTATTTTTTATTTGGTTAATTTGAAGATTTTAAAGCCACTTTTCATCTGCAAGATCCCAGTGTTGTCTGTGGTATAGACAACATCAAAAACAAGTTGAATGTAAAACCATGCAATTGTGCATTTAGAAACCCAATTAAACAAGAATAACTCTTCAACCTGCTAGCCAAACAACAGTCAATTCCATTTCAAAGTAATTCGGGATATAATTCTGTCCTTTCCAAAAGAGCTCTGCAGTGTTGGAAGCATTTGAAATGGCCTAAGATCTTCTAGTAGACATCCAGAAGTGCAGGAGGAATGATGGAGGGAATCCTTGCCTCTCCAACCTCCTTTTTTCTCTCTCCTTGGATGTGCTTTTGAACATGTCTAACGACGATGCAGGGACAGAGATGGGGATGCAATCTAGAAGGCTTCAATATAGTATGGATCTTCAGCAACTCCCCATCCTCCTCCTTTCTTTCCATTCCATCTTCTTCTGAAGCTGGAGCTCCACATTCAGGTGAAGAAGCTAGCACAGTGCTTTCTGCAGCAGCTGTGAGGGGTGGGATGGAGGGAATCCTTATTCTGATTCGTTCCTTCAAATTCCTAGGAGCATCTATAGCCTTAGCAGAAAGAATCCAAATTATCCAATGATTCCTGGGATACTCTGTTAGGGATCATGGGGACATTCCCTTCAATTTAAAAATCAATGAATACAATACTGGAATTGTAAAATATTGCTAAAATATTTGGGCAAAAAAAAAAAAAAACATTTTCACAGGGCACCAAAAAGAAATTGAAGTGGGTGCCAACCATCTCTTCTTTGGAAAGGCATTCTAGAGTCAGGATGCCACTATAAAGAATGTCCTGTATCTTGTGAGTGCATAATGTTTTTCTTTCACTGATGGAGAAAGGTCTCCTTGGAAGATCTTCATGTATAGGCACAACACTATGAAAGGACACTGAAATTCTGTTTCTGGGTCCCAAGCCATTTAGGGCCATTAAAGGCAACAACCTGCACCTGAACTGGAGTCCATAATGAATAAGGAGCCCATATTATTCTTTAAAAATTGATATAATATGATCCTACCTTCAGTGAGGACCTCCTAATATGTTTCCAAAAAATCCAAGCCCACCTTCAAATTCACTTGACAGCCACCAATTTGCAACTGTCAAACATTCAAATCTTCTTACTCTGGCTCTTGTTCCAGTTATAATCTTACAACAGTAACAAATAGATAGTTTGTTCATGGGCCTCTGCAGAAAAGTTTACTTCCACCATAGTGTGAAATGGAAGCCCCAATCCTTTCCAAAGGATCTCAAACAGGTGTGGGACTCACCTATTGAGAGATAATTACAAGGTCTGTCAGTAACACAACACCCCCCCATTCCAGCTGGTTCTAGCAATAGTTCTGGGCTTGCTTTTGTGCTGTTGATTTTTGCATGCATAATATATGCTTGTTATCACAATCCAGAAATGCAGATGACAGATAACAAAAGATATTATTACAATTATGTGTAGCGTCTTGCTGATTTTTATATTCTCACTCAATGCTGTCGAACATATGCTCACAGGGGGTTTAACCGCAGCTTCTCTAATAGGAGACACTATGGATGAAATTACATTTATGACATCGCTTTAATAGACATTTTAATAATGCCTGTTTGTCAATCTCAGCTGTCAACAAAGTAGATGCTAGGATGATTCATTGTTGGATATTGGGAGAAACACAATAACCATGGAACTGGTAGGAAGAAGGTGCATTTACAATCTGCAAGTTATCCAGCAGTAGGTGTCAAATGATCTTACAAGAATTGATCACTTTAGGGCCTTGACCTCCATATTCACTTCTTCTTTTTCTTTAATCAAGGAGCATCATCCTGAACCCTGCCTACTTCCTTAACCACCTTCGCCAAGCCACCGTGTTCCGATGCTTAGAGAGATATTCTGAGGCAGCAAGGTAGGGTCTGCAGATAGCCATTATTTCTTTGTGGCATAAATGAATGTTCCTCTCTTTTTTCCTATTAGCTCTCATTTCCTAAGGAATACTTCGGAGGGTGGTTGAAGTAGCAACATGCTTATTTAGGGATTCGTGAGTAAGGTGGCCTCCTACACATTGCTAAAAAGGAGGAAATGTATCATCAAAAAAAAAAAAAAAGAGTGGCAATATGTTTTACAGTTGCATCTGCACATCTATATGTATATTTACATAAAGTGTATGCGTGTAGAGCAAATTTAGAAATAAGTTATTGCTGCAATAGAAATGCAAGTTATCCCACCATAGCAGAAAACACTGACATGGTCCTTCTCAGTCCACTGTCCAGGACCTAAGTGCTGATGGTTGACTCCCAGCCCCTGTTCTCCCCTTATGGTTTTTTCTTACTATTATCAATATATAAATCAGACTTGGACTGGGCAGCCCATAAAAGGGGCCACCTCCAACAGGCCAACCTGTTGTGTCAAAATAAGGGACTGTCCTGTCCTACCCTCTCCATGACCTCCCTGCTCTCCAACCTCATGTGCTTGTACAAGCTGTTCACCACTAATCTCCCAGCCCCAGCAGAAAATAGCAAAGGCCAGTTATGCCAAGCACAACACATGCACAAGTGTTGCCTACTCTTGTCCCTGCACTTGGCAGTCACCACACAGGAGAAGAGCAGCAACACCATTGGGCTCTTCACACCCGTTACTCAACACCTCAAATGCGGCTTAAGGGGGCAAAGTGTGGCAGACACTGGGGCACTGGCCCATGACAAGGCAGGAAGGGGCATCTTGAGCTTGGGCTTCTCATGAGCAGCTCAACAGAATGAGACTCACCCCATAACTGCCAAAGAGCCCTTCTCTGCCAGGATCAGCAGTGGAAAGTGTCTGACAGCTGTGCCCACGTGCCACTGGGGCACTTTGGGGCTCCAGAGGCACCTGGAAGGGTAGTTTTCATCCCCACGTCCTCCTCTGATCCCTGTAGTGCTCCAGGTGTCCCTGGAATACCAGTGGTAGGATTAAGTGGGGAAGAGGAAGAAGGAAGTACTGCAGGACACCCGAGTCCCTGATCTTTTGTTAGAACCAGTGGGGGACCCAGCCTAATGTTAAAGTATCCTGAAAGTCTGTTAAAGCCTTCTATCCAAAGTCTGGAATTAGCACTCCCTGAGAGTAAGTCCCATTGGACTCAATGGGGCTTCCCTTTGAACAGACACATATTCGATTGCACTATAAAGGTTGTAATATAACAAAATATGGCTGACCGTTGTTGGAAACAGAAGGCTAAGTTAGGCATGATACACAGGGCTTATATATAATTAAGACAATCTGGGAATCATTACAGGTCAGTGAAAATATGGGGTGCAAAAGAGCATCTCATCCCATACCAAAGTCTGTGAGGATAAACTGAAAGATTCAGGCATGTTCTCAAGCCTTGAGAACCCTGAAGGGAGACATGATTGCACTCCCCAAATGCTTGCTGTGTGGTCATGGACAGGAGGGCTGAGACCACTTCTCAGTCAAGCCAGTTCAGGGCTGGAATAACAGGCTCCGGTTACAGGAAGCCAAATTACGGCTGGACATCAGGAACGACTGGGTGACCAGCTGGGACCAATTGCCCAGCAAGCTCGTGGGGGCCCCTCACTAGAAGCATTCAAGGTGAGACTGGACAGCCATCTCTTAGGGAAGCTTTGACCTGGAGTCCTGCACTGAGCAGAAGGTTGGACCCAACGGCCTTCTGGGCCACTTCCAGCTCTATCGTGCTACAATTCCTTGACACTGTTTTGCCCCTGGCAAAAGAAATAAACATGCAGCATAAGAGATTCAGACTGGATTTGTTTAGATGGTGGCAAAGAGATGGATGAGGTATTAGGAAAGGGACTCAGACTGTGACAGAAAGGCCAGAGATCACCCCAAGTGAGATGAAGCCCCGTAGAAGTTGGTGAGCAAATTACAGTGAGGAGTTATGCTAGAATTATGGTAGGAATAACATGCCCATAAAGAGGGAACATTCAGGTTAATGTGGTGACTGTAAATCTTTAATGAACCGACAGTGGTGTCCAGAAATATCTGCCTTTGAAATTAGGAGTCAAGGTCTGTTCTTAGATATACAAGTGGAGACACTCATAAATTTGTGGATGGTTCTTTGGTATATAATACCTTCTCTGCATCCATTCCCCCGTCTTTCTCCCGCATGACTCCACTCACACTGACACAATATTCACATATGCATAGAGGGGTGATTCTAGGACAGAAATGTTCCACTCACAGAAGGGACCGTCACCCAGTTGATGGAGCTCCCCTAACCCACCAGCACACCCCACAGCTCATTCCCTTTGGCAGCCCTTTCTCTGCAGCTTTTTCAGGGGATTCATGGGACTACCTTGAGGAAGAGAGGCCTGGACACCTAAATCTGGAGTCAGCCTACACGACTCACAGATTCAGATAATTGACTATCATTTCAACAGTGTGTCCAATTGCTTGCTCTGCTGAAACCTTTCTTACCAACAGTACATAGTTCATAAAATCTATTTCTTACAAATTTGGAAGCTGGAGGTGCAGAAATATAGGCAATCCTCCAAAATTGTCTGCAGTGCATTGTTCTTTGCGTGTTAGCTTGATTGCTAAGTAAACCTTGTCTGTATCTTTTCAAGCCTCTCTTCAGAACCATGAAGACTAGAACATGGTTTATTTTTTTAAAAAAATGATATTTGAGAAACCTGTTCGTACCATCAGATTAACTGTGGGAATGGTGATATACCGCAAATTATTGTCTATTGACCTTCTTCCCCACTCCAGTCCAATCAGGCAATGTGTGAAGAAGCCAACTTTTCAGGGTGTCACGTTCCAATTCGTCCCACCCTGAAGTTTCCTAACTGAAGATAAAAAATCCAAAGCACGTCACACCATAAACTTCCAAATCTGCCTAAAACTGTGAACCAGCATGGTCACTTTCTGTGTTTGATATGGACATTGGACAGCTTTGCCGCTGATTCAGTCAGTGACTTTCAGGTCCTCCTCATCTCTCACGCACCCCATTCTGTTGTAACAGTAGATTGTGGGACCCAGTGCAATTAGGAATCCTGTAAAAGTCAACTTCATAGATTCCTGAGTCCTGCTTGGGATGTTTTCTTATAAAACACTATCACACACAGTTTGCTTTGCAAGAGGTGGTCTGTGGTCCTGAAAGTTCTTGCTTAGCTTCTTTTCTTGTGACATTCTGTTTCATTGTGCCATCCAAAAGACATTTGATCCAGGCAGACAGTGATGAATGCATGGCATACCTAGTTACGTGACATTAGGATGGCTTCATCTGTGAATGGATTTTAACAAAATTAGACAACTCCATGAAGTACACAATGTTCTGTGTCAAATAATCATGATAAATGGAAAAACACATAAAGGGTAAAGTTGCTTAGATTCAGAATGAACAGGACTCCACATCTGGATCCATTTCAGTCCAGTTTCAGGCCTGGTTTTGGGACAGAAACTGCCTTGGCCACTCTGTGGGATGACCTTTCCTAGGACAAAGCAACAGCATCCAGGTTGGTTCTTCTGGATCTTTCAGTGGCTTTCGATACCATCAACCATGGTATCCCTCTGGATAAGCTGGTTGGGTTGGGAGTTGGAGGCACTGCTCTGCAGTGGTTCCTCTCCTACCTGACCGGCTGATTCCAGATGGTGGTGGTGGGGAATAGCACCTTGGCCCCAAGGCCTCTTTATCATGGCTTGCCACAGGGGTCCATCCTATCCCCCAAGCTGTTCAATATCTACATGAATCCATTGGGAGATGTCATCTGGAGGTTTGGGCTGAAGGGTCATCAATACACTTAGCTCTACCTCTCATTTACATTTGATTCAGGTGAGGCAGGGTAAATTCTGAACCAGTGCCTGAGCAGGATGATGGACTGGATGAGGGGTTAATAAATTTAAACATAATCCAGATGTGCTGTTGGTGGGTGGAACCTTGGTCCAGAAGGGAGAATATCCACCTTGTCCTGGATGGGGCTGCACTCCCCCTAAAGGACAGAGTGTAGAGTTTGGGGGTGCTCCTGGACCCAGAGTTGTCCCTGGAATGCCAGGTGTTATCTGCGGGCAGAAGCACCTTTTATCAACTACAGCTGATATATCAGCTGCATCCCTATGCGGATGGGCAGAACCATGCTCTGGTAACATCCCATTTGGACTACTGTAATGCACTTTAAGTGGGGCTGCCCTTGAAAATGGTCCAGAAACTTCAGGTGGTACAAAATAGGGCAGCCTATCTGTTAACATGAACAGACCCACATAAATGTACAAACCCTGTACTTTACCAACTGCATTGGTCCAGGCTCTCTTGAAGGAGCTCCCATTGACCTCTAAGCCCTAAACAGCTTAGAGCATGGCTATCTAAAGGAAGGCCTCCTTCCGTTTACACCTACCCAGACCTTAAGAACATCTAGGGAGGTCTGTCTCCATGAGCCACCTTTCAAACTAAGGAGGAGGTGCCATCTCAGATGTGAAACCAGCTCCCCAGGGAGGTGTGCCTGGCACTGACTAGATATACATTTTGGCACCAGGTTAAAACTTTTTTTATTTTATTCCTGTTATTTTAATTGTTGAATAGAAGGTTTCAATTTTTTTTTTATTCAGATGATTGGCTTGCTGTGGATTAGTTGTTTATTGTGTTGTATATTATCATTATTTATCTGTTAATTGTTGTTTATGATACTCAATGTTTCATTTTTATTGTTGATATGTTAATTGGTATTATGTTTTACTTTGATTTAAATGATTGCACACCATTCTGAGAGTGTTTGTTAAAGAACAATATATAAAAGCTTTAAATAAAAATAAATCTAAGTAAAAGAAAATTCTATTCAGAGTTAGCCTTCCTGCAAATGCTGCAGGGGAAACAGTGATGATTAGCGTTATGCCATGCTCGTGAACATGCCAAAGATTATCTGATTGTCCTCCTCTGTAGACAGAATGATAGGCTAGATC